TGCAAGATGCCTACAATTCCTGTGAAATTAACAACAAAAAAACTAAGATTAATCATAGATCGTTTCATTCATAGTTAATAGGCCCTTAGTTTTCAAGGGTGTCTTCGGTTAATTCTGAAACTGTGAATGAACCTTCATTCATTCAAATATTTTTGAATAAGAAGAGTAAAGAGAAAAGGTATATTTGCTGGGGATGTTTGGAGATCAAATCAATACCTCATAACTGTCGATCTTTCCCAAGTGTCTTTGTAAGTAGAAGATTAAAATGTTGAGGGAGTATTTTCAAAGATGCCGTAGGCTTTCTAATAAACATCCCTAGGTTTCCTTTTTTTTTGTCTCGCACAACTTTATAAATTTTACCCTTTGCTATCAACTGCCAAAAATCCAGTTCCACTTGAATCCACTTGAATCTATTTGTACTGTTTTCATTTGAAAACACTTGTGACTTCTGCTGCAGCCAGGAAACATCCTAGAGCCGTGATGGCGAACCTATGGCACGCGTGCCACAGGTGGCACGCGGAGCCATATCTGTGGGCACGCAAGCGTTGTCCTTGCTCAGTTCCAGCGCACATACCCACACCGGCCAGCTGAATTTCGGACCTTCCGGGCCCACTAGAAGTCAGAAATTACTGGTGGAGAAGGCCATTTTCGCCCTCCCCAGGCTCCTAGGAAGCCTCTGGAGCCTGGGGAGGGCAAAAAATGGGCCTACTGGGCCCACCAGTAACCTTTTTGCCATCGCGTGCCAAAAGGAGGGGGAGCATGGGGGGGTCGTGTGCGCATGCGTGCGGGGCATTGAATTATGGGTGTGGGCATGCACGTACGCGACCCCCTGGCTCCCCCCACTTTTGGCACACGACAGCAAAAAGGTTAGCCATCACTGCCCTAGAGAAAAGGCCAAATTTCAGTTCTTGATTACAGCAGTGTATCCCAACCTTGACCATTTGTGGACTTCAGCTTCCAGAGTTTCCCAGCCAGTATTCTGACTGGGGAATTCCTGGAATTGAAAACCACACATTTTCAAGTCGCCAAGATTGAGAAACGCTGGATTATAGGATAACTTGTCAAGTTCCCCTCTGCTTAAGTTTCTGATTCCTGGAGAGCTACATCACAAAGCCTAGATCATTTGTTATTTGTGAAAGACACAATGTAATCTGAAGTTCAAAGGTGATACTGTTTTGCACATTCGGTTATATTGGATTTTGAAGTTTTTTTCCCCCTCGCAAGCCTAGAATTAGGCCTCCATCAAAGGTTTCAGATTTGTAGGACCAGAGGCAGACAGGTATTTCTTGGGGAATATTTAAGGTTAATGTACCATTATTGACAAAGAAATAAATTCCTGATTGTCTGCCTTGAATTTAAGAGGCAAATTGGACAGGAATCCAGAGCAATAATAAACCAACATAGACCTTCAGTTGGGCAGCCAACTTAGAGATAAAATAGAGGTTGGAGATTGTGTGTGAACCACGTATTGAAGCTCCTTTTAAGAGACATGCATATAACAAGCAGTCTTTATTAGATATAAACCCTTGATTTTATATTCCATTACATGGATTTATTTATTCCAGAGGTGGGTTTCAGCAGGTTCTAACCAGTTCTGGAGAGCCAGTAGCAGAAATTTTGAGTAGTTCGGAGAACCGGTAGTAAAAATTTTGACTGGCTTCGCCCCCATCTATTCTCTGCCTCCCGAGTCCCAGCTGATCGGGAGGAAATGGGGATTTATTTTTTTTTAATTTGATTTATATGCCGCCCTTCAAGGTTATTTTGCAGTAACCTTCCCCTGGAGTGGGGTGGGAATGGAGATTTTACAGTATCCTTCCCGTCACGCCCACCAAGCCACACCCACAGAACTGGTAGTAAAAATTTTTGAAACCCACCACTGTTTTATTTCTTTGGTTGCATTATCAGGAGCCTATTCATTTTTATCGATTTCTGAGACAGATTTGTTGTTCTCAGTATCTCATTCACTCCAGCTGAATGTATGCTGAGTGTAGAATTGGAGTAGGCTATTAGACAACTTCATTTGCCCCCATCAACCACAAACAGTTGGTTTTTGGCAGCAAGATTTTTAGTATGTTGTTCAAAACCAATGATAGTTCTGGGAAAGGAAGGCCTGTGACATTAAACTATACATTAAAGTCTGCCTCCCCCCCCCCCAAATCATTCTGAATTTGTGGTAGTGCCCAGGATTAGAAATGGAACCAGTTTAATTCCCACTCCCAGTCTTAAACTGTTGCCTAAAACACAAGTGTGTGTTGGGGAGGAAAAATTTCATCATCTCCGTTCTGGTGAAGTCATTCTGAGGTCTCCAGCTAGCAAAGAAAAGTATGCGTCATTCTCTTCTGCCCCCCCCCCTGCCCCCAGTGGTGAAATCCAATTTTTTTAAACTACCGGTTCTGTGGGTGTGGCAGGGGAAGAATACTGCAAAATCCCCATTTCCTCCCCACTTCTGGGGGAAGGATATTGCAAAATCTCCATTCCCACCCCAGTCTGGGGCCAGCCAGAGGTAGTATTTGCCGGTTCTCCGAACTACTCAAAATTTCCGCTACCGGTTCTCCAGAACCTGCTGGATTTCACTCCTGGTCCCCCTCTTGCTTAAAGTTGGAGATATTCACAGGACAAGAAGCGCATCTATGACTTTTCTGCTAAATTTCTGCAATTCTACAAAGTGCAACATTCGGAATTAGTTCCATCGGCTATGTCTAATCTGCCTTGGATTTTCTTGGGTGGTAAGACGGAGAAGAAAGTGTCTGGTTCTTTTGATACAGCTGGGCCACTGGCTGTCCATCATTAATTAACCTTTTTTCAGAAGTCATCCTTTCAATAGTTTTCAGTTCTATACAAGGCCATCATTATAAACTAGTCAAGTTCTAGATTCTCCCATGCTTGAAGTTTTATTCTAAGACTCAGTCTTAGTTCCTGAGACAATGCAAAATGCGGCAAGCAGACATTTCCCTACTGTTGCTGTGCTAAACTCTGCTTTGACAAGACCCACTAACGTCAAACATCTTCGTAATCTATAAGATGCTTATTCTAATATTGGTGCTTCAATTCTACATAAACCAGCATGTATGTTAACCTCCATGTTGCTACACTTAAGAAAATGACCTGGATGAGTTTGTTCTTAATCCCAAAAAGAGGATCAGAAATCTTTCAAGAGTTTTTTTTCCCCCTGTCTTCTGATGAACAGAGGAAGACGACTCAAATAGTACAGGATACTTTTGCCTAAAAAACAAACATTATGGATCCATGGCAGTGCCTGTTCTCCATGTCCTTTGACATGGTTGAAATTTTGTCGAGGTATTTTGGTTTATGTTGAAGAACTTGATTGCTATCAGTAGTCACAATGTCAAGTTCATTGCACATCAGCTTTTTTTAAAAAAATCGGGCAGTCCAGAGCTTTTGGGGCCACAGAGCTGAAACCTGCATTACATCAATGTTTTAACCTTCCAGTGTGGTGAGGAAGCTGTTATTTGCAAGCCAGGTACCCATCCACGCAGTCCTTGTTTTGTGTCAGGCTGTAATAATATGTAGTGCTACCTTCTGTTGGGTTTGAGTGGCAGATAGAATTTTCCTCCAATTTGTTTCTTCCTAAAAATGATCTCCAAGCAGGTGTGCATTTCAGGAAAGGGCTTTATAATAAATCTTTATCGGTAGTCCTCTGGGCAATCTTAAATGTTACAGCGGGAAGGTTTTGGGACTTTCGGGCATAGATGGTGGAGGAGGATGGGCTAGGTGCAAAGGAGCAATTTATAATTGCTTGTTTGTGAGTCAAGGATCCTGTTTGGGTCTTCTGTTGGCAAGACAGTGTAAAAGAACAGAATCTGGTTTGGTTTGGTTTTGGGAGCGGGAGATGATAACATTATTCAAAACTAGGATAGCGGGTAATTGGGTCAAACAGTTTGAAGAGATACAGATTTACTAGCATCTGTCTTTTCCTCAAATTCCATTCATGGTTAGCTACAAGTAAATATTTGAAAGCAAGAATCATCTGGTGGTGGTGGTGGTTGTTGTTATTATTATTATTATTACTATTATTACTATTATTATTACTATTATTACTATTATTACTATTATTATTATTCTACAATGTCTGTAATTCCAAAGCTGGATTTTCCAGCTTTAAATCTGACCAGATGACAAATTATCCCACTTCTGCATGGGATTTACAACAGAAAACTGGCAATTAATTGTTAGCCAACGTTTTAAGTTCAAGCTCTAATGAAACAGGCAAATATTTTCATTTGAGAAAAGGGAATTTTCCAAGTATTTCTGAGCAATATTGGGATATTTCTGACATGGATTTTAAAACTAATTTCTAATTTAGTTATGTAAACAATTGCTGCCTCTTGTTGTTAGTCCTCAGTGTCTCATTAACTTCTTATTTTTAAATCCTCAGTGCCTTTTTTCCTAAAAACCAGTTTCACGCTAATTTTAAGTCATTCTGATGATGAGGCATTTTTTTTTCCAATTTCAGCTGAATATCCTGTTTTTCCTTAATGACATTGATTCTTGTCTCAGATAAATAAACTGTTTTGTTTGCTTTGTTCTCTCTTTAGAGTTCTTGTGGCCACTTTGTGCAAGATGAAAATTATTTCCGACTCTTTTAATAGCTGCTGTCAGCACTTTCCTCTCTCTTTGATTGTATACCCCAGGCTATTTTATATGGAAGGAGAAAAATGGGTATGAATAGAGAGAAAAATAGATAGCGGCATAGTGGCCTAGAGGTGAAGACGCTCACCTCCCAGTTCTCACATCTTCTGGCTTTCAATTGTCAAATAGGCAAATGTACCATTACTATATAATTCTCAGAATATTTATAGAATTAAGCTTCCCAACGCTTACATGAAATACACAGAAAACGCATGCAAGCTAAATCGGAACTGCATCTGTGCTTCTAAAATGTCTGTAATTGTACTAGCAAAAACCAAAGATCCTGGTGTGGGTTTGCTAATTTCTCTCACTCTCGGTTTCCCTGTTGTTTTTTTTCTTCTCCCCCACAGCTTACTAAGACAGGTCCAGGTGTCAACTGCCTGGAGTCCATGTGTTGCTTCTCCGATGGGGAACCAGCCTGCACATCTTTTAGAAGAATGCTGGAGCGAATAATGGGACGATGCAGCCCTACCCGAGTCAACAGGTGTGGAATTTCTCTGAAATGCCTTTGCTGCAGACAGTTCTCCTATAAACTGGAACACGATGAACCGACAACTATAGATGTCTAGTTTCCTAGACAGGAAACCCATCTTCCTAGGTTCAGTCTGGGATCTTCAGAGGAGATCCAAGTTTGTGCTTCGAATGTGGGGGAATGAGAGATCGTTGCGTTAACTGGTTTGTTGTTGAAAAACCGGTTGAATTTTGTTTTGTTTTTTTTAATGACACCGTCTTTTCTCTGATCCTGCAACTGCTATTGTGCCTTTAGTGGCTTTGGCGTTATACGCTGTCTCAGGCTCCCCTGCTCTTTTCAAGCATCGGCCAGTGATTCACAAGCGTGCTTTTCCTTGGCTCTGAGCTCTCTGTGTGCATCATTTTTGCCTTTCTACTTAACGTGCGCATTTCAGTCTAGTTTCTCCCCTTTCCTTATACGGTATGTCTTTTTTTTTTCCCCTGAAAGTCAGACCACTGTCCTAGTTTCCTTTCCCTTTAGCTGCTTTGCCTTTTGAAATTGGAAGGCTTGTCCTGTGTTTGATCACCATGTGTCTCCCCTTCTAGACATGCAACCAAGCTTCCTTTTAGCTCTAAGGTTTGTGTTCTCTCCCTTGAAATTTTCATTACCGGGGGGGTGGGAGAAAAGTTTGGTAGCTTTCCTCTATTTCTTGTTCATCAACTGTGAAAGTCAATTACTTTTAACAATACGAAACAAAGCTCGCATCTGAGTAAAAACATAATAATCTAAAGCCACCCCAAATTATGATTAAAAGTAGACCTTTTTTAAAAAAATAACATGAAGCCATTCAGAAATAAATGCTAAGCCTATTTATATGTTCGCTAATTTATACGGGTCTGTGGGTTTTTGTGTTTTTTTTTTTAATTTTGAAAAGATCCTCAACAGGAAGATCAATGAGAACAATTTCTTAATTTACAGAAGTTTCTATCTTAAAAAGAACACGTGAAAACTCTACGGAGATGTTGTAGAAAGAGACGGTTAGGAAACCCCAGTCTTTCTGTACGCTTGTTTAAATGTCAGGTTACGATTGTTTTCTTCTTTCCTCGATGATATTAGCCACCTTCTTCTGAAGCATCAGCTGAGAGCACCTTGTTCCATCTTGGTCACAATTAAACAGCAGTTTGAGCTGAGATAAGATGAGATCAAGCAAATTATTAGGGTGAGATTCTCAGTTTGGGGGAGACAGACATGAACAAAGAGAAGGTGTGGATGTCCTGCAATCCTCTTTGGATTGCAAAGAAAAGGAAGATCTTTTGCTTTCAGAAGATCAGGAGAAACATCTGAAGATCTTACCGATGGCCCACACAAGTTGGAAGTACGGCTACCAGGTCTCTATGGCAACAAAGCCGGACAACCATTGGATGGCATAAAGAATTAGTTTTCTATATTGGTTTGCTGCTATCTATTGGTCAGCTGGATGTTTGCAGTCCTCATTGAAGGATGCAGTAGCTTTTTACTAGTAGCTAGTTACTTTAAGAAAAAGTTGGAAAACTTACTGTGGTGACTTCTAAATTGTAATTTTCAGTGCTCAGCTCTTCTGAATGTTTCCTTCTTATTGATTTTTTTTTTATTTAAAAACCCCAATATCCTCAAGTGTGTTAATCTCTCTGCAGCTCCATTTTAAGTTTTTACTAAAGTGATTATTTTTTCCTTCATAAAATGGGACTGTTACAAGCCAGGTTTAAAAAAAAAAATAGTAACCTGTCTCTCTTTGGAAAGAAAGAAAGATGTATAAAATAAAATATTTCCTAGACATTTTTAAAAGGAGCAGTATCTGATTGATCTAACGTTAGCTTTTTCTCTCCCCTGGGGTAATGATTTCCGATAAAAGTATATTTGCACCTCTTGGATATTCTCTACCATTAGAATGCCTACCTGCACTACTATGCTTGGAGTTTGTATCGAATGAGGTCTTGTCAGTGTCAGGGCTGCCTGGCAGGAGGGTATGCAGTGTGTCTCTGTAATTCACCCAGCAGAGACACTTTGAACTCCTTCCTCTGCAAGTTTCAGGATTACTTCAACCCAGAGGCGTACACACCAAACACAGAGCCTTGGTCAAACCATTATGGTTGCTGCCTGTTCTGATCTAGGCTTCCCACGAGCATGAAGCAGACTCCTTCTCCCGACAAAAACCCCTTTTTATTAAGTTACTGTGAATTCCTCTCATTCACATCCAGCAAAGTCTCTCAAGGGAGAATTTACAGTCACAGACCTTATCTGGCTTAGAGATCTGCCAGGCCGATATCGTCAAAACTTGGCAAGGAGTCTCTGAGAGTCACGAACCAATTAAGCAAACTAATTGTTTCCTGCAAACTCCACTCCCCTTTTGCTCCTCTTTAATCCCTATGGGAGGGGCCATTCACCATCCATCTGTGGCTTTACTCCTGAGTTGACCCTTGTTCCTTAGCTGTTCCCTTCTCTTGGCAGCTCTGCGCATGCGCACACTGGGAACAGGCTCCAGCTTTTTCTTCTGCCTCACTTATCTCCGATTCCGAAGGTAGCTGATAACTTGTCGGACAGCCCGGGCCCCATCTCTGCCTCTGACGCAGAGCACTCATCAGAGCCTTCCCCAGACTCCAGGACTGGCCCATGTTCCTCCCCAACCTCCTCACTGTCTGCCACCAGCTCCACTAGCCGCTGGCAGGCCACAACACTGCCTTTACTTTTTAACCAGCCCCTGTGGATAGTCCTGCTTCATCCCCATGGTCAAAGAGAGCAACCTCTGATTGCACCAGAATTTTCATATCAATCTTTCATGTCCACCTTTAAAATGATTGTCATCCACCTCGTTCTTATATAGGAGAGAGTTATGTTTGTTGTCACTGTTGGGTTGAATGCATGCCACACATGTATCCCATTCAGACAAAAACATAGCAGATTCATCCTCATCATATGCTAAGCTTGGTTGGTGTAACCCCAGATAGTCTTTTTCTCTGGTTTAAGCATAGCGTGCTAAAGATCATGATGGGACAAGAGATTGTGCAAAACCAGAAAAAAATGTGATTTAATTAGTTAATGATAGTAAACGTGCAATCTGAACGCAGCCTTGGGTGGGAAATTGAAGTTAATTTGGAGAGGTTTACTCCTATCTCATTAGCGCCATCTTACGTCATATCGACAATGTGATGCTACATTGTTGGAAAGGAAACAAGTGATATATTCAGAGGTCTGTGCTATCTTGTACGTTGAGGGTTTAATATAAAATGTCACTGAGAGAGAAGCTCACAAGTCCTAGCTATGGTTCTGGCAAAAGGTAGGTATCGCCAACTTCAAAATCAACTGTAAATAAATACATCTTGTGATTTATTTATTTTTTAAAATTGTTTTTCTGTTTTCTGTATCTGAACAAATACAAGGATATGATTTGACTCTCATGTTTGATAAAAGATGAAGTACTCCTCCCTCATCCGATCTGCATGCCGATATGTGGAAGACGGATTGCCAAAATAGGATTTTGAAATTCTGCTGGGTTTTTTCCCCAATTAGAACAAACTTCTAAATTGTCATTACTTTATTATTTTAAAATACAAGATTTAAAATTGTACTGCCTTCCAGGCACTTTGAATGGGGTCTAAACTAAACTGAAGCATTTCATCATGCAACCATTGATCTTACTTGAATAGAACTTGATTCATTAAAATCAAGGATTTAACGGTAGTGACAATCTGGGAGGGTCCAGTCATTTCGCAGATTTGGTCGGAACTAAAACTATGCGGACATACGACCCTTCCGTATTTAGTTTCCTACCTAAGCAAAATACTAAGAAATGCATATTTTCAAGGTACAAAACTCTCACACACTTCGTAACCATTCCTTATGAGCAGGCAGAGTTACAAAGTGAACTTAGCCTTCTATTTTGACTTGAGAATGTATTAGTCACATTTCTTGCAATAGCAGCTCACCTGGATATAAGCTAAAAATATTTCCCCAGTGGTTTACAGAAATGATCCATGATGCTTTACAGAAATGACCCAAATAAAATGTGTTCTGCAGGCCATCTCGTCTTTATTTGTTCCATCGTGAGATAATTAGTAGTATAGATGGAACAAGGTTTACTTCATCTGTGCGGCATTAGACAACCCTCCACATCTGGCTTTGTGGAGATGATCAACCTCGTCTGAAGCCCATTAAAATACCCTCCACGTCTCAGGTGAAGAGTCCAAGACTCATTGGCAGATGTACAGTACCCAATACCCTACACCTTGAAACTGATTTCTGTGGTCTTTAACCAACTACTAGGGAAAGTTGCATTGCCAACCAAATCATCTTTGTACTTCATATTCTGTCAAATATGAGGATCAGAGTACGAAATCAAATGTTGAATAATTTGGATGAGTGATCTCATATTTCATCTAATTGTGTGCTTAAATGCTTGGAGTATAAAGGAAAGAGATACGGTACCTAACCTTCTCTTTTAACAGAATGAACATATTTTAATTAAATCAATTAACGGAGCCTTAGAGCCATTTCTTGTTTCCATTGTGCACAGTTTTCTCCAAATCATCAAAATCTGTTCATGTCTCTTCCATCCAATTGTCTCTTGCATTGATTGCTCCAAATCCAATGTTGTGTTATTAAACATATCCATTTGCAGTGTTTTGCTCAGCTGATTTTGGGTGGCTGGGGTATTTACATGTTTACATTGGGGGGGGGGGTTGCATACCAATTATAGGATTCCTTCAATTTCTTAATAGCTCTGCTTATGTGCAGAATCAGCATTCTGGATGCACGAGCCTGCTAGAATACAGTGGCATGGCCCTGTCTTCTATGAGAGGGAAAGGCTTTAGAGCAGAGGTGAGAAACTGTGGCCCTTGCTGGTTCAGGAATTCTGGGACTTGAAGTCCACAAGTCATAAAGGGCCCATGGTTCCCCACTTCTGCTTTAGAGCACGCCTGTGATTACATAAAACCTTCACACCTATGGAACTCTGGATTAGAGTAACTATATAAAAGCAAGTCACATTATAATTGATCTAACAATATGAGTCTTCCCAAGAACTCATGCAACCCTACCATTTCTGATCTTGGTTCTGGGAAGTTTCGGCATCTCTGTGCCTAATTTGCCACCAGAACTTTGGATCATATCTTAAGTCATTTTGGATATATGTTTCTGAAAACACCTCTGGGACCAAAAAACTCAGGTTTCCCGTCAGCAAACGTTTCTTTCTTGTTATTACTTTAGATCATGGAGCTCTACGGAACCTTTCTGTACCAGCGACCGAAGCTTCTTGACGTTATCCACAATGGAATCCATTACTTGAGACTTTTCTCAATGCCTTGTGGAAAACCATGACATCTGGGTTGTAACCAATCTACCGGGCCCCTTGTGGCATCCTTTTTAAATGTCATGGCCAGGTTCATTTATTAGGAAGGGGGAGAAAAAGATTTAAACCTGGTTATTTGGAACAAAAACTGCCGAAAAAGCGTACATTCCAGTGGAAATATTAGCATTGTTTAGATGGATGCTTTTAATTTTCCATCGTCACATTAATAATAATAGGCTAGAAACCCTTCAGAAAGGCAACTGCTTTGGCTCCCAATTATCCACAACTGATAATCAAAATATGAGTGGCTTTGCTAAATTGGGAAACGGTATTCTTCTACTATTCTCCACAAGCTGAATAGATCCTCCTTCATAGATTGTTGTAGCTAATTCTGAAAGATTTTTAGCATCGAGTGGAAAAATGCATACTCTGGAGAGAGAGAGAGAGAGAGAGAGAGAGAGAGAGAAGTTCCCTGAGGATGGACTCCAGCATAAGCCCGAAAGCTCGGAAGGATAAGCCTCTGGTCCCAGTGACCGACTCAGATTGGATCCTGCAACCTTATCATGGGACACGTATATTTACTTTCATTTGTGGGGGGGAAGGAAGCTGTTAAATAAATTAGCTTTATTTCTGGACATTCTTGATTCAAATTTGGGGGAAGGGATGCTTTTTGAGGCATTACTTCTTTCCTTTTCCACTCCTCCCTCCTCAACATTAAATAACATTATTTAGTCACGTTATACTCTTGATGAGAGCACCTAAGAATTCTCCCTGATTTTGCAGGGGCGGCAAAATAATAATAATATGCAGCCGTACTTGTACATAGTTTATATCAAATGAAGCGCATGCTGTTCGGGACAATAAAGAAGAAGATGGCCTTAGCCAAAAAAAAAAAAAATTGCGTCTGAATTCTTGATTTCAATCAAACGGCTTGGCGGGCTAAAATGCCACAAAAGGACTATTGAAAACATTCGCTCCCACATTTTTCACGAGATGAAAAAGTTTGGCATTTATTACTCCAGTCCCACCTCTGTGGCGGCAGAGAATCCATCATAAATGGTGGATGGGTTTGGTTGTTGTTTTTTTTGTCAACAATGAGTTTCACAATTTGAGAATGCTTCTCTGGGTCCCTGCAGATAAGTGAGAAGGTTATCTTCCCCACCTCATGCTTTGGGGTGTGGTGGCCCCAAATGGCCTCTTGCTTCCAAAATTAAGCAATTATCAGAACCCCCCACTGTGTAAACACTCTGGTCATACACTTGCATACCTTTTAGGAATGTCAGTTCCTTCTATTTATATTTTTTATGCTGCTTTTTTTCCCCCCTGTTACGAGCCAAGAGATTGACTCAATACAGCAGTGGTTTTCAAACCAGAGAACTTTTAAGATGTGTGGACTTCAACTCCCAGAATTCCCCAGCCAGCATGGCTGGCTTGGGAATTCTGGGATTGAAGTCCACACATCTTAAAGTTCCTAAGGTTGAGAAACATTGCCATATGTTAGTAGCCTTCTGGCTGAGTGCCATTCATTTCAAGGGAAGAGACAAAGCAGAGCTTTTCAGGGAAATGCCCCTCGCAATCAGCAGCCTGCACTGACTTCAACATGTTTAATGTGTTCCCCTTATTCCAAATATCATTTACTCATTTCTATCCTGCCTTTCTACCCAGAGTGCTTATTTAAAGGAGCATCATTTCATCACCACCATAGATCACTCATAACCATCCTTTCCATTCTGGTTTGTCTCCCGTCTCCACACACACACACACACCCAAAAAAAAAAAAAAAAACCCACAACTTATTGTGAAAGGATCCAAAATTTAAAAAATCAAAACTCCAAGCATTTATTTAAATCCCCATCATTGTGCGATTCATGCTTCCGCTTTGATTTTGTATGACGTTAGCATTTAATTCTTTTTTCTTCGCAGATGTTACAATTCTTACTGGAACTGACTTCCATGTTTTTTGTTTTTTAAATTCCCATTTCTTTCTCGTCCCTCCTCAGTGTGTGTAAGGGTGCAGAAGAAGCATGCATTTAAACAATTTCAGGAAGAGTTTAAGACACTCATCTGTCCAAGCCGGGTATCAGTTTCTAACTAAGGGGCAAAAGTAACACCAAGTGAAGACCTGTTTCCTTCTCTTTCTTTGTTCTATGACCAGCAATTCGGGGTCAAAATGGAAGGAAAGCAAATGTATTTTTACGTCGGATCTCAATTAAGTTTCGTCCTTTCTTTCTCTGAATGTTTGTGTCTTTCAGTAAACTCAAATTTACTTCTAGTCTGAGGATTAGGCCAAAAATACATTGCAGAACAGAAAAAAGGAAATGCAGGAAACTCCTGTGAAATGAATGAATTACTGCAGATTAAGCAATAACAGTTGAGATAAGCCAAGGAAGGAAGATGATTTTTCTTCATTATATTTTTTGAGGGGACGACAGGATAAATTCTATAAGTCTTGAGGGTCTGCAGAATACAAAAACAAAGAAAGCCAGTTTTCCCCCCCATCAAGACCAATAACTTCGTGGTCATTTTCTTGGCAGCTACACAGAAACGGATTGTTACGTTTCATGGAATAGTTTTCAACTTCCCAGTTGAGGCTACTGCTCTGGCCACAACCCGCTTTAGTATTTTTCTCCACTGCTTTCCACCAAGTTGCAGAATCCCCTATTTCCAAAGACAACATTGATGTTGTGTTCGGTCTTTTTGTCCTGGTGAGCAAGAGTGGAGCATCTCACCCATAACGCACGGTGGGGTAAAGGATTCGGGGCAGAAGGAGCTGTGAAAGGACAGTCCTGGATAGCGATGGCATCGAAGAACTCCGAAAGGGCATCGGATCTCTGTTGGTCTCAGGAATTTCTATGTTCAGTTGCAGGACGAGGTGTTAAGGGGCAAGGAAAGCCCTCTTCTCCATGCTCACTGAAGATGAAGCAAGTCCCATTTTTCTCTCTGCCGTAGGATGGTCCATGTTTAATTCCCCCCAATTTCCAGTGAAGCATAGCATCGTTTCATATGACACACCAAAAAAGTTGGCAATCGTTGAGGAACCGACCGTCCCTCGGAATATGGCTGTTTAAAAGAAATAACGTACAGTTGACATCTGTCCTCACATTCAGCCACCATAGGTACACAAAACCCATATTACAAATTCATTTATTTAATCACTTCTTGATCCTATAGAGCAGGGGTCTCCAACCTTGGCAACTTGAAGACTTGTGGACTTCAACTCCCAGAGTTCCTCAGCCAGCCAAGCTGGCTGAGGAACTCTGGGAGTTGAAGTCCACAAGTCTTCAAGTTGCCAAGGTTGGAGACCCCTGCGTATAGAGAGAGATGCCTCCTCAAATTCAGTCCATTGTCTTTGCAACTTAAAAAAAATACTACTTTCTCACCTGTGAAATGGGTGCCAGGTTGGATTTTTTTTGTCCCCATATGAACTTAAAACTACAGTAAAGGAGATTCTAGTGCAGGAATTTCCTGATGGTAAGAACTGCTAACCAGCTGTCCCAAAGACTTTAGCGGGATTCCTGCACCAGGTAAGGGGCTAAATTAAATGATCTTATAGATCCCTTCCAACTCTATCATTCTATTTTATTCCAGTACGTCCTATTAAGAAAGAGGGCGAGGGGCTGTTATAAATTTTGATTAGTTTGGGACTTTAACCAAGACAGGTATGGAAGTCCAGCTGAACTTGGATAAACTCACTCAGTAAATCAAACCACACTCAGGGAAAAAGATGCATTTTAGATTGCTAAACATTGCCCAGCATTCCAAAGAACATAAATGTACCCTTTTTCTTTTTTTTTTAGTTTGAACTTTTCTCAGGATAAAAGGAATTGGCATTTGTTTGAAAACGATGTCTGGATTTTCTGTGTTTTTAACAAGTGATTGGAGACTTGAGTGTAAAACTTCAAAGTGCAGTCATAGTTAGTCACTCCAGTACCGGGTTTCTATGTATGGAAAATAGGAGGAGGAAGGGGGCATGATGTATGTTCCCTGCCATGGATTACTTATAAAGTAATAAAGGCAGATTAAAAATGTATCAAAAAGATGGAGTTACAACCAGTGAATGGGGGAGATTTGATACGTCGACATCAAACATAGAGGTAGTCCTTGACTTACGATGACAGTTGAGCCCAAAATTTCTGTTGTTAAGTGAGAGATTGGTTAAGTGAGTTTTGTCCGGCTTTATGACCTTTCTTGCCAGTTGTCAAGTGAATCATTACAGCTGATACGTTAATAACAGGGTTGTTAAGTGAATCTGGCTTCCCCATTGAGTTTGCTTATCAAAAGGTTGCAAAAGGTAAACACATGACCTTCCTTGGGACGGCAATGGTCGTAAGTACGAACCAGCCGCCAATCACATGATCATGGGGATGCTACAAAGTTCGTAACTCCGCTATAATTTTGAACGGTCACTAAATGAACTGTTGTAAATCGAGGACTACCTGTACATATATTTTGTTTTTTAAGTATTGTACTTCTTGTTCAATTTTGTGCATAGGGTTATTGTCAAGATTGCTTTCTTGGATGTTAAGAATTTCAGTGTTTATTCCAGTGATTAATATTAGCTAAATAACATGGGTTACTGTCTGAAAAAATGGATTAGTTCAACTGCTTGATGTGGTCCCCTGTAGGCACGGATGAACTGTCTGTCAGCAATCTTGAGCATGCCTCAGATTAAACCACAACATGCTAGTTTTGCTGAACAAAACACAATTGTAACCATCAAGCTGTGTTCTTGATGCTCTAAATCAGGAGTGTCCAGCTTTGGCTATTTTTAAGACCTGTGGACTGCAACTCCCAGAATTCCCTAGCCAGCCATTGTGGATGGAGATTTCTGGGAGCTGAAGTCCACAAATCTTAAAGATGTCAAGGTTGGACACCCCTACTCTAAGCCATGCCAGTGTCCAGTTTTTTTCAGAATTCCTCCTATGCCATTGACTTAATGTGGAGTCTGTAGGTCTTTGTCTACAAATAAATTGATTTAGGACTGGAGTTAGGTCGGTGATCCCAAATATATATGTTACATGGTGAAATACTCTCTTTCAATACCGGCATCACCAGGTAATGTTGAAGTAGACTCTGCTGAAACCTAGGAATTCAACTGCTGGTTGAATGTTATGGTACCGGTAGTCCTCACTTAACAATCACACTTGGGACTGGCAACGCCATTTCTAAGCGATGCAGTCGTTAAATGAATCACCCAGGGTCATGAAGTGAGACTTTGTGACTTGGGATTTCACTGCATTCCTTGCTTGTCCATTGACTTTGCTGGTTGGAAACTGGCTGTGGAGATGACGAATGGTAATCTTGTGATAGCAGATTACACTGATCATAAATTCCTACCAGCTGCAGTGTGACCCAGAGAGGCCGCAACAGCTTGTTAAGTTTGAGGACCGGTTATAAAGTCAAGTTTTTCAGCACCATCATAACTGGTTGCAAAACAGGATGGTTGTTAACTGAGGACTATTGAGATTTGATATATTATAGGACAGTTTCTTTTCATACGTATTGTCATTGTAGTAAACCTACTAATGAAACTGTCGTTGTTGCAATATGGAGATTGCAGTTTCTTCAAAGCACCGTAACTAAACATTTACTAAAGATCACCAGCCATCCTAGGACAGATCTACTAGAGCAGCTGAAGTAGAAGGCACTAATTGTAAAGCCGCTTTTAGTTCTTAGTGGTGGATGGAATTAAAGGTAGATCCTAGCTGTAGAAAAAAAAACCCTACTGGCTAAATTGGTGGTGTCACAATATTTTTAAAAAAATGCTAGCAGTTAATGTGAAGAATGCAACTACTTCGCACATTTGGTCCTTTGTCTTGTTCTGTATTTTAGAAGTTCTTGAGATAAATTCTGAGGTCCTGAACGTTAAAAAACGTTTTAAAGCTTCCTCCTCTATAAAACAGTAACACATTGAAGTTTGTGGTCCTATGTGTATGTAATCTGGGAGGAGCTTCCATTAAGCATAATCATGTTTACTTGTGGGAGAAGGGGGGGAACATAAAGGAATATGCTTTGATTAATAAATGGATTTGACCAGATTAAAGCCAAATGTCTGGTTTTAAAGAAACCCAACATAATCGACAGTACTAATTTTTGTACTTTCCAAATGGATGGCCACTGTTGGGGAGTTGAATTCTGGGAGTTGAAGTCCACAAGTCTTAAAGTTGCCAAGATTGGAGACCCCTGGTTTAAGAGAAACCCTATCCCTATTTTATGTAAGCTCCCCTTTGTTTGTAAAAATGCTATATTTTTTAAATTTTAGATTGCAAAAGAAATGTCATTCCCACTATGCCAAAGATGGCGTCCTTAAATGTACTTAACTGACTCTGTCCTTATGCTCTTGAAGAATGAACCTGCAGGATGATCTGTTTTAAACAAGCATGATTGGGTTTACCGGCCTTAAATTTGGGAAAGGGAAAGCTGAATATTCCAGTTGGGAGGATAGAACTCATTTTGAGTCGTGGGCCGCGGACGGAGCGGAACAACTGGAAGCCAGAGCGATCCATCCCTGGTCCAAAGGACTCGTGACTTCAGACACTGTGGCCACCTCACCATCAAGTTAAGATGCTTTGTGGCAAAATGGTCGAATGCAGCTTCCTGTACTGCTATGTGAATACGTTGTTATACCAAAAAAAAAAAAAAAAAAAAATTATGGAGATTATATTTATTGAATAAAATCTTTGATTTTTGAAACTGCCTCGGTTTTATTTCTGAGCAATTCGGGGATGAAGAATCACAAGTTGGAACGCAGTGCGGTCTTATAAAAAGGCTGCGCACCGACAGACAGATTTACAGAAAGGAAACAAGAGTTTTTGGACAAAACGCAAGCCTCGATTCCTGGCTAAAGAATGTTTAAACTTTCATCCAGTTTTTTATTTTCAAACTCTTACATATTTGAAGGCCATGTTGTGCCCGCATACGTATGTATCACTTTCCTTCCATTAACCCTCAAAAATTCCAGGTCCATTTAGCAACATTGAATCTAATTCAACCCACAGTTGAATGACATTGAGAATGATTTGATATGAGGTTTGAAATATTTCTTTCTTGGACTTGCCTCAGAGCTAATGCCTTTACTACATTGTTCCTTCACACACACACACAGAGTCTGATCAGATGAAGATTTGGCAGATACATTTGCAGAAACTACCAATGTGTTATTTGAACTCAGAAGATAAAAACCAATGAACTGGTTAATCAGGTTTTAATGAATGCAGCCATAGTATAAGAAAGGTCCTTTGTCTGTTGTTTCTCTTAATGATGGAGATTATTTTGACACCTGGCTTTGGTGGCATCCATCCTTGTTGACTCAGCATTATAAAAAAAACCCAAAACCCAGCGTGTCTAGGATACTGCCAAGAAAATTGCATCCTTCTAATCAGGCATTGAGGTAGACTCTAAAGTCATTTTTATTCTCTTTTTTAGATACCCGAGGATGAACATTTCATAGCACCTGAAATACCTGTTCTTTTTTTTATTGTAGTAACGGATTTGGCACTCTCTCAGAATCTATTATCTGTTGCTGGTTAACATTCCCTGCCTTTTCCTAATGACAAATACTTGTTTTTATTTCTGCAATGGGCTGACAAGGGCTTTTTTTTAACCATTGGATCTCTGAAAACCACAGGTCTAGCAACTGAGATACATGATGTGCAGGCAATATTTAACTTGAGACCCAAAGGTGCAACTGGATTTTGTTTTTTCCTCAAAGACGTTTTGCTTCTCATCCAAGAAGCTTCTTCAGTTCTGGTTAGAATTCTTCAGTTCTTCAACCAGACTTAAGCTTCTTGGATGAGGAGCGAAACGTCAAGGCAAAAAAAACAACAACGAAGTGAGTTCAGTTGTCTTTTGGAAAGTCCCTTTGGGACAACCATGACCTGGATGACTAAGAATCTCCACAGACATTCAGTTGAGAATTACCTGCAGCTGTCCTTATGCTAGGCTTGAAAGATGGTAGCCATTACTCCTTGCAATGGTTCAAATGCAGGAAGTCCTCAACCAGTATTTGATCACCATTCATTTAGTAGAATTTATAGTGGCTGCAGCATCCCAGGATCCTGTGATCAGCAGGTGTGACCTTCCCAGCCCTCATCCCATAAACCAAGTCAAACAGTGAAGCTGATTGGTTTAACAACTGCAGTGATTCACTTGACGTTGTGGCAAAAATGGTCATAAAATTGGATGCAACTCAACAAACCAGCTTGCTTAAGCAATGGAAAGCCTGGTCCCAATTGCGATTGTCACGTCAAGGACTCAAAATACGTTTAAGATCTACCTGGCACGGGTTGTGAAACACGGTGATGTGCAGTGAGACCTTGACAGGGTTTGTAGTCTTCTAGTGTAGTTCCTCCTTATCAACCGTATCAAATAATGCTCTTTCCAAGCAAAATCTGAATTTTCTTCCCACTAGAGAAAATACTAAAGATTTCAAGAACTGCATATTAATCCATCATAGGCCAAATAAAGGCTGAAACTCACATTCTTTGGGTATGTAATGTAAGCAAGCGATGGACAAGAAAAACATGAGCAAGGTCTGAGAAAAGGGGAAAAAGGGAAAAACAAGATGGACGGACAGGAGCAGAGACAGCCAATGGAATATCCTTGGAGGGGAGACTGGTTTTTTATGGGATCAGGTCAAAATGGTAGGCTTTGATCCACACAACTGCCAGAGACCAAGCTTCATTCAATGGCACTCTCAACAGCAAATCAAAATCTTCATACACTGTATGCGTTTTTATGAACATTTAAAAAAAAAAAAATCAAACGTTCTCTGCACATCTTGCTCAAAAGTTGACCAACCAAAACTTTTGGTCATACTTAATGATAGATAAGCATTGTGTTTAACTCCTTTAAAGTTAGTTTTTTAAAAAAAAACAAAAAGTCCTTCAGAGGGGCATCACAGGGTAGTTTTGAAGAAATAAGTTACTTTATTTAGCAGGTTCACAATTCATAGCTTTGGACCAACCAAAGAAAACATCAAGGTACCACTTTTTTTTCCCCCTCACCCCACAAATTAGAAACTTCAAACCATGTTTGGGAAAAAAAACCCCTCCAGTTTGGGCAACCACAATCTGTGTTTTATATGGCAAGCACAATGTTAATTTGCAACATTCTCTTCTTCTTCTCACCACCATGATTTTTTTTTTTAAAAAAAAAAATAAAACTAATCAAGAAACAAAGTCATTTTTGCTTCTTCTCCAATGGCATAATTCATGTGAAAGTTTTGCCATGACAATCGGGCTAGTTATTTTATTGACTCTGGGTTGCAGAAAGTACTTTTTCTCAGTAGTTACAATTCAAATGACAGAAAAATGTTGATCACATAACTGAAATAAAATTACCAAGTGATCTGCATGGCTGAGAAGATCTAGGCTTACATACAACAATAAAACTCCAAAAGTAGATAAGGTTAAGCATTTACTGCTTGTCTGGTATTTGGCAAAAGGAAAATGATTAGGAAGGGTCAAGTTACCGCTGGATGCACACATGGGTTGTTTTTATTAATTAAATCAACCCAAGTAGAAATTCAGTTTACATTTTTAAAACTTAAAAAAAAATCATGCACACATACATGGGGATATGTCTGAACATTTTTAGTCTTTGCTAGAGCCAGGCATTTTACATTCAGAAACAAATAATTAAGCCCAATATTTCTGCCATTAAACACAGTCAAACCCTAGCACCACTTTGACAGTACACGTCCCACTGAAAAGCAGGTGACCAATTTTTGCCTCTGGATTTAAAATCACTTTTTAAAATTCAAGAATGCTTATCACACAAACAACCTCAGTTTTTCTGCTACTTAAGACAGCAATGCTTTATGTAATGCAGTTTTATAATTACACAGTAATTATAAATTGTGTAGTACCAAACTGATGGCAAATTCCATTTTGTTGAAAAGGCCTCAACATTGCAAAAGGAATCATCTTAAAAAAACAAGAACAGCATGGCATCTATGCCCTAATCTTCAGCACAGGGATAGAATTCAGTACATCTCGTTAAGATTAAAAAAAAAACAACACACACACACACACACACACACACACTAAAACACAAAAAATACACAGCATACATCAATGACTCATTCTGAGAAAGCTGTACCCAAATTTTAAGACAGAAAAACAGCACACGCACCCTTTGTAGAGTTTTCATAATTCAAGTCTTCGCTCATATTTACACAAGAGAAGAAACAAAGAGTAAATAACATACTTGACTTTGCCAATTCCAGCAGCTAAAAGATTTCCAATTTTATTCAATGGTTTCCTTAAACTTTTCCAAAAGGTTACCGAGGGAGTGGCTGTAGGATCCTGACAAGAGTTGTTGGGTGTTTTTTTTTAAAAAAATAAATCAAGCAATTAAGATTTTTCCTCCTATTATTTTAGCATCTGCGTAAAAGTGCATTTTAATGACATGGATACAAGAGACATTAGCAAGAAAACATCATAAACTATATCAAACTTGCCCTTCTCATTCTTAAATATTACAAAGGAGTTTTAAATACCTCGAATCCATGTTTCCAATGTTGTTCTATTGAACGATTATGTTTTTGTTTAAGAAAAGGGCAAAGTGGTGTTAAAACGATTAAAAGCCAGGAGGTATTTCAAGTGCTGCTATCATATAAAAACACAAAGAATTAAAAACCACAAGTGTCAAGTTAAAAAAAAAATGTCTACAGTTGGACAAAAAAAATAGTGGCAAGCCAAAACATACCTGGACCACAGTGGGTGTAGCATTTTCAATCTTTCATCATGATTGAAAAACCTGAAAATGCTGGATGTCCCTCTACCTTTCTCACCTGGGTAAATCCTTTCCATTTCAGCACGTTTCAGAACGATGAATTTTGCAATAATTGCAATCTGCAGACTCTAGCTAGTTCCTGACCTAAAGTACATGTTCTGGTTTTCAACTAACTAGCATTAGCATCGACCTTCAGTGAAATTCAAAGCTAAATATGCTTTATGCTGGAAAAGAGAAGAGGGGAATGTAGGTAGGTAGGTAGGTGGGAAAGGAACACACAAGCCTCTCGGGCATTTAATGGAATCTGCAGCCACTTGCGATGGCCACTCAATGACATGTGTGTCATGATGCTTTCATGCCAATGCTACACTTACATGCGTGTCTGATGCAAGCTGCAGCATTGACATGATAAGGGCATCGCACATGATGTCACCTGCCCCCATCCCCTTTGCTGGTACCCAAAAGGACAATCTTGATTCCCCCCCCTTTACCACTAAAAACATTACATCTGTTAGTCTGTTATGATCCAGCCACGTTAAAGTACATAGCTACTCTCCGCTGCAGACAATGACAGAATCAAGTAAAAAGGATTCTCTTTCTTCTATTGAAAGGGCTGAACCTATTTGGCTGGATTACGTCGGATAGAATTTGGAGTGGCATGGAAAAGATGGATGGCCCAAACAGAGGCGGCCCTGCGATTAAGCGGGAACTGCAGTTAGTGAATAATTACTCCACATACAGACCCCATTGTGGTCAATGCAAAGTGTGGGGGGGGGAGGTTTCCTCTTCGTGCAGTTGCTATCTAACACCCTTCCCTCATCTGGAGGCTTTCAGACTTGCAAACCATCTACTCCCCGTGTCAAATCTGAAAGTCTAAATATCCGCAGGCATCAGGTTGGTGAGGTTTGCATAGGCCCACAGAAAAAGCTTGTTCTGGGCGCTGGGATGTCTCTGCGTGACGATCACAGTGAACTGCAGTTGTAAAATAAGAACCCACCACAGGCGAAGAAGGCTCCCTGGTGGTAGTCCTACTCACACTCGCGTGGGTTTGGCTTGTGCTACTCAGCCTCGAATAAATTTGCATTACATTCATGGTTATTTTGCAAAACCTTCCTGGGCTCAAATCAAGAGTTTTATAAAATGTAGCAAGTATTACAAGTTGAGTATTGCATTCAAGTCTTAACAATTCAGTAGAACTTAGTGGCTGGGGGGGAAAGGAGATAGTTCCTTGAAGAGAAAATGAGTATTTCAAGGCTGATAAAATTGGACAATTAATGAACGACTAATAAGACTGGGTAACTGATGGTATTTCAAGACTAATAAGATTAGGTAAGTCTAAGAGTAACGGTGAGCAATTTCTTATTCCCACAGTAGAGTGCCCACTGGTCCTTACTGGGCAAAGCCTCACCTATTAAAACTTAAGAACAGCCAGGCTCAATAATACTCTAATTTCAACCACTCCGTAAAAAAATAATAATAGAAGAGACAGAAATAGCAGTTATGTGATCAAATGTGGACGGGTTTCTCTCCCTTTGGGAATACGGGATAATGACCCAATTCCCAGAAGAAGCTGCCCACACCTGCCTGAGAAACAGTGCGACCCAATTAAGTTAGCAGGAACATTACCAGTGGTCAGACTCCAGTATCATCCTCCTTTCTTTTGATGCTGCACACACAATATGGCACAGAAACAAGGTGGCCAAAGGACTGTTGTGCTCATCAGCAAGAAAAAACCACCCATCAGCAAAAGCAGGATGCTAAAGGAAGCTTCCTCCGTCGGCATGAGGCACCCAATATGTCTGACATCAAAGGACACCGCAAAGTCATTCGCCGACCTAGAGGTGGCAACGCACCGATGCAGCTGGCAAGCCTGTTCCAGAGTGGGACAAAAATCCAGGTTTTTGCTGGGTCTTTTCGACATCTGCTTTCAACCGCACAAGCAAACAACAACAACAACAACAAGCCCTTGCCACTCACACTGACAACAGCTGTAAATCGACCATTTGAAAAAACAATAATAATAATAATAATAATAATAATAATCATGGATCCAAACACACTGTTTTAGGATAGTCTCAGCACAGTCGTTGCAGATAGCCCCAAAATATGTTAGCTGAAGATAATTTTGTGTTTTTTTTCCTGTCGGCTTTTTTAGAATTAGGACACGTGGATTGTGAGAGCGAGCTGTGAAACGGGAATACCAAAGAGTTTGCTTGGTGGAAAAAAAAAACAGAACGTACTTTAGGTGTGGAAACCGGAAATGTCAAAAAGAGTCATCCAAAAAACATGAAAGATCTATGGAAAGCATTAGGAGGTTCCGTTAAAAAAAGGAGGGGAGGGACAAGATGATATATCCACAATGCTGGAGTTTCCGTGGGGTTAGGGCAGCCCAGGCTGGGAGAGAAGGCCAAGCCACCTGTAGTCTGATATGGTCCAAGGTATAATCCTTACAAGTTTGCAGCCACCCTCAGCTCTTATCTCTTGAGGATTGGTCTTCGGTCCAGTTCAGTCATTGGCAGAAAGGGACTGCAATTTTTTTTCCCCATTATGTTTATTTGTACAGACTAGGTACAGGTTAGAAGGTTCCGATAGCACTACACTGTCGTACTTTTGATTCCAGCAATCTGAGGTCGTGCAAATTCCACAAAGTCGTCGATAAGAACAGGCCAGGCGCCTGGGGGGGAAAAAGAGAGCAGAAAAAGACAAAGTTATTACATCTTCCCAAAATTTTACTTGAAGACCATTGGGGGGGGGGTCCTTCTTCTTTTTCTTCTAGATCAGGGGTCTCCAACCTTGGCAACTTTAAGATTTGTGGACTTCAACTCCCAAAGCAAAGCTGGCTGAGGAATTCTGGGAGTTGAAGTCCACAAGTCTTAAAGTTGCCAAGGTTGGAGAGCCCTGTTCCAGATCGTAGAATGACAATGGATAATGGATAGTTAAGCCTGCAGAAAAAAAACAATGCCATCCATTGAGGACCTGTACAGTGCACAAATCGTATCTATAGAGCCCTCATATCCAAGACATAAACTCTTTCAACTTCCCACAGCTCTGTCTCATTTCTCATCTTTTTTTCCATCTTCACCCCCCTCCTACTATCTTCTACTGTTTTTTTTTTTTGCAATTTATCAATTGTTACTATTAATTATTATGAATTGTTAGCAGAGGGCTTGGACTAGAAGACGACCAAGGTCCCTTCCAGCTTTATTCTGAATGACTGTAATTTATGATTAATGATTGTAACTATGATTATGACCTATGACCTATGACTTGTTGTTTATATGTACACTGGGATTTTATAGACTGGAGACAAATTCCTTACACTTGGCCAATAAAGAATTCTGTTCTGTTCTGTTTTGTTGTCTTGTCCTGTCCTATTCTATCCTATTCTGGAGCTGAGGAAGACCCTCTCAAAATCATACTTTCCATTCCTTATTTCAAGCATATAGGTCCGTGATGGCGAACCTATGGCACGTGTGCCGGAAGTGGCACACAGAGCCATCTCTCTGGGCACGCAAGTCATCGCTTGTTGCTCTTCTGGGTTCTGGCACACTGGCCAGCTGGTCTTCATACGCGGAGCACCGGAAACCTGAAGAACAGCTGCCTGGTGCACATGCGTGTGCCAGGAAGATGATCTTCTAGTTTCTGGTGTGCACATGCACACCGGCCAGGTGGTCTTTGTATGTGCATGCGTGCCAGAAAACAGAAGATCAGGTGGCCGGTGCACATGCGCATGCCGGAAACCGGAACATCATCTTCCTGGTGCACGCATGTGCACCGGGCAGCTGCTTTTCCGGTTTCCGGCACGCATACACTCCCGTTTCGGCACTCGATGCCGAAAAGGTTTCTAACGATGATATATTGTAGGTGTTCCTTGTGATATATTGGAACAACAATTACAAGTCTGTCATGTCCTCCTCTGATGTGAAATGTATGTGTGTATTCACTGACCCAGAAGTCAATGGATTAGGATTTGAGGTGAGGACAAATGATAGACTTCACTCACCAGCAACCTGTATTAAAAGTGTCTCTGAATACAGAAATGCAACCTTCCCAGTTATCCTCCAGCAAAGCTTCGTCTGTGTTACCTCCTTTGTAGTTTCCCTATACAGGTAGTCCTCGACTTATGACCACAATGGAGCCCAAATTTTCTGCTGCTAAGTGAGACAGCTGTTAAGTGAGCTTTGTCCCCCCTCTTACGACCTTTTTTGCCACAACTGTTAAGTGAATCGCTGTAGTTGTCAAGTTAGTAACCCGGTTGTTAAGCGAATCCGGGTTCCCCATTGACTTTGCTTTGTCTGAAGGTCACAAAAGGGGACCACGTGACTCCCGGGATACTGCAACTGTTATAAACAGGAGTCAGTTGTCAAGCATCTGAATGTAAATCACGTGACCCTGGCAATGATGCCACAGTCGTTAAGTCTGAACGTCGGTCATAAGGAACTGTTTTCAGTGCCGCTGTAACTTCAAGTGGTCACTAAAATGATGCCTGTAAATCGAGGACTTCCTGTAATGCTTTTCAAATGTATTAAACGGTGTTCCACCTGGCTTGCAGGGATATCGTAAACGAGGTCTGGCGTTCCACAATGAAGCAGTTCTGAGATTTTTCCTCATTTCTATCAAAGTTCTTCAAAGAAAACAGCCCTGTTCTTTGTACCTAAGTCCACACGGCCATTAAACCTTTGCTAAACGGAGTCTAATGCAGGGGACTCCAACCTTGGCAACTTTTAAGACTTGTGGACTTCAATTCCCAGAGTTCCTCAGCCAGCTTTGCTTTACAAAATGAGAGGATCAACGTATTTTCTCCTGCTGAAATCCACCCGTATTTTCTTTCCTTCCTTGAACCAAGTCTTCCTCGGTTTTATTTTTACTCTGGCCTAAGAAGTTCAGAATTCAGCTACAACGGGCTTCCTCATCCTGGAAAATGTTTGTCCCTATTCCCAATTGTATTTCCCTATGCAAATACAGAGAGTGTATTTGCAATCAGCTCCCGGCAACCGTAGCCAATGATTCAGGAAGAAGACAAACTGGACTAGTTCCCCCTTTTCTCTCAACAAAGAAAGCAAAACAAAATAACAGCAACAACAACAAAAATGCCAACTGATATCAACTTTTTTTGCAAGGGCGTTTTTCAAAAGGAATGATCTAAGGAATGATCTTCCAAGATTTTGCTCTTAGGACCCCTCCCCTTTTTAAAAATTATAGAGAGCCCCAAAGCAGCTTTGGGTTAGTATGGGTTAGATCTATCAATATTTACCACCTTAAAAGTTAAAATTGACACACTCGTATAAGGATTTCTTGAATCATGAGAAAATAACAATAGTAAATTCAAGTAATAAGGGTGACAAAGATTTAAATTTTTGCAAATAACTGGCAAATAGTTTTGATTTGACGGACACCAGAGAGGGTCTTGAGCGACCCTGGAGGGGGGTTGGGGGGAGGTCCCAGAACCACTTAAAAAAAACAACACTGCTCTAAATAACCCGAAAGGTTCATTGTAGGAGACGGAAACTCTCAAAGAATTTGGCTCTAAATTGTTACAGGATTCAAAGGATTGTTACAGGATTCAAATGTCAGTGAGTATTTGAAGCAATCAGAGAGAAAAAAACATATACAGGAAAAAATGTGACAGAATGTTAAAATGGTGCATCCCATTTACCCAGACAATGACCTGGTGAGTTGCAGAAGGGAAACACGGCAGGATTAGTGAATGACTCAGCAGTAGCTGGTTTGGCAAGCTGGTTTTGTTGAAATAAGGAGGAAGAAAAAACACCTCGTAGCATGGAAATGCCAATGAGCGCCATTCATTTTAAAGCCAAGTTCTATTCTGAAGCTTGCTAAAGGCTGCTCTCTGGGATTAAGTTCATGGCCTTTATGGCAATGACCAACCCTCCTTGTTTTCAGATGTTGGACAAACAGATCTTTGTTTATTCCCTGGGTGCTTCACAATTTTTTTTTAAAAAAACTGAGAACTGATGAACAAATCAGATTGTAGCTAAGGTTTGAAGAAAATGACTAATGGATTTTAGCAGAGTGGCACAAACAGAGTTTGGTCTTGCACTTAAAGGCACCAGGCTAGAAACCAGGAGATTGTGAATTCTAGTTCCGCCTTAGGCATGAAAGCTACCTGAGTGACTTTGAGCCAATCACCAGGAGACTGTGAATTCTAGTTCCGCCTTAGGCATGACAGCTACCTGAGTGACTTTGGGCCAATCACCAGGAGATTGTGAATTCTAGTTCCGCCTTAGGCATGAAAGCCAGCTGAGTGACTTTGGGCCAATCACCAGGAGATTGTGAATTCTGGTCCTGCCTTAGGCATGAAAGCTACCTGAGTGACTTTGGGCCAATCACCAGGAGATTGTGAATTCTAGTTCCGCCTTAGGCATGAAAGCTAGCTGAGTGACTTTGAGCCAATCACCAGGAGATTGTGGATTCTAGTCTCACCTTAGACATGAAAGCTACCTGAGTGACTTTGGGCCAATCACCAGAAGACTGAATTCTAGTCTCACCTTAGAATGAACACTGGCTGGGGGACTTTGGGCCAGTCATTCTTCTCCCAGCCCAACCCACCTCACAGGGTTACTGTTGTGGGGAAAATAGGAGGAGGAAAGAGTATCAGGTATGTTCACCACCTTGAGTTATTTATAAAAATAAAAGCAGGGGAAAAAAATAAAAATAAAGAATTGGGAGCTGGGAAGCCAACCCGTTCCAATAGCATCAAGAAGCCACATTACCTTCCTCGTCATAATTTGACATATCGTCTGCTATCATTGCACTGAAGTCTAGAAGAAGGTTCCAAGTGTCCTTCGGTATAGATCTTTTATGATGTTCCTGTTTGAGAGAGAAAATCCCACCGTCATAATTCAAGACATTACTTATCTACTGATTCCTCAACAGGACTTTATGCTTAGCACAGCAGAGTTTCAAGACTGGAGAATCTCTCTTCACGTTTCTTGGACGGCACGGTGGAAATGATCTCTATCTCAGATCTCGGGATCATTCTATTGTAATCATCTGCTGAGCGCCCATGGTTCTGCAGAGCGACCCGGCTTTGCTTCTCAGAGCTGCTTAATTCATTGGTTGGAAGAAAGCAAGACTGGGAAGGCAGGTGGCTTCAATGTTTTCAAAGCACCGAGAGAGACTGTTTCACTTCCACTGAAGGGGCCATTACTGTGCATTGGTTCCAGTGCGGTGCTCAAAATTTAAAAGGCTTTGTACTGCTTTGGGGAGGGTCGTCAAAGGAGGCCTTGATTGGAGGCTTAGTTAAAACAGTGCCTCCTCCAGGCTTTGCACCAGGTTTAATGGGCTCGTGCAGAATCCACAAAAACAGATGCGGTCCGCTCAACAACTCCTAGACAACCGTTTCAAGGCCAAGGACAGGTAGCATTTAAAATGACTGAGTATTTGCACATTCCTTTTCTCAGTCAACAAAATTTCACTGGGTCAAAATTCGCAATTTAAACTGTAAAGATTTTTCTTTTGGGATTTCTGATCTTATTTATTTATTTATTTATTTTATTTTATTTCGAATTTATATACCACACCTTCTCCCAAGGGACTCAGGGCGGTGTACAGCCAGATAAAAACATACAATACAAACATTAAAAACAATTAAAAGAATATATATTAATTTGGCCCCAGTTTAAAATGACAAACCAATTAAAAATTTAAAATTTAAAAATATGTTAAGCCAGCCCAGCTTGTTGAAAAAAGAAAGTTTTAAGGGCACGGCGGAAGGCACCGAGGTCTTCCTTCCTTCCTTCCTTTTCCTTCCTTCCTTCCCTCCTTCCATCCATCCATCCATCCATCCATCCATCCATCCTCTTTCTTTCTTTCTTTCTTTCCTCTTTCTTCCTTCCTTCTTTTCCTTCTTTCTTCCTTCTTTCCTTTCCTTTCCATTCCATTCCATTCCATTCATTCATTCATTCATTCCAACAGCCACCCAATTCAACCGAGTGATTCTGGTGGCTTATAAATACAGGTAGTCCTTGACTTATGACCATAATTGTGCTTGGAATTACAGCTGTAAACCATGCCAGATTTCATGATCATTTTTTGTGGCAGTCACAAAATGAATCCAGCAATGAATGGGGGGTTTTGGCCAGAAACTGGTTTCTGACAAAAAAAAAAACATCGTAAATTATGGCCACATGACTGGGGGATGCTACAAACAGTTATAAGCATCCAAAATGTGATCAGGTGATCATGGGGTGGGGTGGGATGGAGGATAAGCCTGACTGTCAGAACTTCATATCCAGGTTTTAAGTAGCTTTGGGAAGGTCTGTTGTAACTTTGAATGGTCACTAAGCTATCGGTTGTAAGTCAAGGACTATCAGCAGAGACAAGAAAAGCTTCCAGTTCGCTCTAATGTCAATCTGAATTATTATTACGTTCATAGGCAAAAATTCCTGATCTAGACTCATTTCATAACGGTATTGATCATACCATACACAAACACACACACACATATACACAAACAGGCAACATGTATGTATTTGTTAGAAACAATATTCAAACTTACCAATAAAAATCTGTTCCACAAGTCTAGGAATTTAAACCTTCCATGGAGTACTAAATTCCAATAGGCAATGGCCATTTCTAAATCTGTAACATTAAAGAGATTATTTTTTTTTCTAAAAAAAAAAAAGCATTATGATCCAGAATGATTTCTGAAATGGATAATTAACTAACAAAGCAAAAAAAAAAAAAAAACCAAATTCTGTAGCATAAGGATGTTTCAAAAGTTCCTGAATTTCAGGATTTTTCACCTTCATCTCCATCAAAGACTTTTCAGACTATCCCAACTAGACACTGGGCTAAAGCAACCAAAGTTTGCAATTGATTTCCATTTTCCCTTATTCCCCTTGCTGAGCTCTTCACAATGAGCGGGAGTTTGCCTCTAAACCTACCCTAAATCTCAGGGGTGCCTTGTGGCCTTGTGGTCAGCAACACAGCCCTTTAGGGAGGGAGAAAAAGCTAGAAACGCCTCTAAACACTTCTAAACCTTTGACAGCACCTTTCCAGGGCTGGTTTTCTTGCAAACTACAACTTTGTTAAACGACACTTGCTGGGGGGAATGTCCATGGAGATTCTCAATCGTCCAGGTCATGGTTGTCCCAAAGGTGCTTTTCCAAAAAAGGCAACTGGATTTTTCCCCCTTTCGCTTCTCATCCGAGAAGCTTCTTCAATTGTGAAGAAGTGAATTTCAGAACTGAAGAAGCTTCTCGGATGAGAAGCGAAACGTTTCAAAGAAAAAACAACAACTCTAAAATGCCTTTTTTTATTTTTTGGGAGGAAAAGCACTTTTGGGACTTGCTGAGGGACCTTGATGGGCTTGTCTCAATCGAGGGGAAAAGGCAGTTTCCATCATCCTGTTCAGCCACAGTGATTGCTGAGAAATTTACTTTCCGGTACGAGACATGAGTCACTTCTGCCTGAGCTAGGAAACGGTGGCATACATACCTAAACCTTTCTGTCCTGGATTCTTTGCAAAGTTGAAAGTAAACTGGTAAAAGTCCTTAAATCTTCCTGGCTCTTTCAATTCTTGTTCCATTTTAGGAAGCTGGGCCTTTAGTTTTTCTATGCTGTCACATCTGTATTGATACATTAAAAGATTTTATTTCTCCTTCAGTCAGTATATTAGGCTGCATATTTTTAAATCCTTCTACAAATTGTACCGACACAGGTAGTGCTCGACTTACAACCATTTGTTTAGTGACCGAAGTTACAACAGCACTGAAAAAAAGTAACTTTGACCAGGTTTTCACACTTATGACCATTGTAGCATCCCCATGGTCACGTGATCAAAATTTGAGCAAGTGGCATGTATTTATAACAGTTGCACTGTCCCAGGGTCATGAAATTGCTGATTTGTAACTTTTTTAGCTGGCATCTAACAAGCAACGCCAATGGGGGGGTGGGGGGTGGTCAGGTCTGCTTAATGACATGATTCACTTAACAACTGCAATGATTCATTTATCAATTGGGGCAAAAAAAGGTTGTAAACTGGGGTAAATCTTACTCACGGAATTGCCTTGCTTAGCAACAAAAATTTGAGGCTCAATTATGGTCGTAAGTCGACGATTACCTGTATCCTTTATATAGGTAGTGCTTGACTTACGGCCACAACTGGGACCGGAATTTCTGTCATAAGTCCTGGTAGTTGCAGGTTGAGTTGGAATCAATTTTATGACACTTTTGCATGGCTATTAAGTGAATCTCATGGTTGTTAAGTCAATGCAGTTTCCCCAATGGGGATTTTTTTTTTTGTTGGAAATCGACAAAAAAATTAGCAAATCACAATCCTGTGACACACACACACACACACACCCAGATGCTGCCACTGGTCAAAAATGGGAGCCGGCTACCAAATGCTGGAATTACAATCACATGACTTTGGGGTACATGCAACAATTGTAAATGTGAGTTCAAGTCATAAATCACTTTCTCCAAGGTCATTGTGACTTCAAACAGTCATTAAACAAGTGGTTGTACATCGAGGGCTATAATTGCTTTTAGAATGGATGATGTTTGAAATTCTCTACGATTTGGTTTATTAAAATAGTAATTAATCTACGCATTTACAAATCACCTAGGGATGAAATTTCCATACAAGGCAGAGGCTTAGAACAATTCTGCAAGAATTATCACAGCTTCCCTTCGTTTGCTTGAATCAGTGAATATGGTAACCAAGCAGGGTGGATAAAAATCAATGATTTTTTTAAAAAAATCAAAAAAATTGGATTTTTTTTATTTAAATCGGATTTTTTTTTTATTTAAATCGGATTTTTTTATTTAAATCAGATTTTTTTTTTATTTTTATTGAATTTATTTTAATAAAAAACTTTTGGGATAAAAATCTACCGTAAGATAGTTTTCTATTTAGTTTATTCAGCATGAAATGGAGGTTAGTTATGTAGCACAAGGCTGTATATTCTGCAACACTGGGACTATCGGTGAGTCAACAGCGGGTCAAAGGAGTAGCAGAGATGACAGTTGCTCTTTAAAAATTATGATTTAAATCGAGTTGATTTAAATCAAGTCTTTTTACTAGTGATTTAAATCATGATTTAAATCATGATTTAAATCAACTCGATTTAAATCAAATCCACCCTGTAACCAAGGCAAAAAATATATACCAGAAAAAGGTTATGTCAACTTGCATTAATTAGGGCATCTTTCGGAAACTTCACAGGTTACATCTTAGAAGAAATTTCTTAGAAATTCAGCTATTTGTATATTTAAATCAATTATCTGATAGTCTGTGCATTTTCTTGATCTTGCCAGTAAACAAAGTCATTTCAGAAAACATCGGGAGTATAAAAGCTGCCATATGGAACACTATCATCTACGTTGCTTCACAGTTTTCTCACACCTTGCATCAACACATTTGCCAAAAGAGTAAACAAATGCACAAGTTCAGTTCTAGTACCAATATATCTGTAAGGAATATTTTCTGCTACACTTCCAGGTACGGTCTCATCCGATATTTTAATGAAATGAAACACACACAAAAAAAGAGTTTTCGGGCTCTAATGGACAGTGCAATGAAAATACAGCAATTTCCCACTTTGTACAGTAAAAATAACTACAAGTTTTCAGTCAGCTTGCTGTACCTATGGCAATTTTAAAAAACAAAAACAAAAGCTAAACACAAGTCTTCAAAAACACGGTTTTAAAAGGGGATTGAAAATATTGCCCCTCTTAATTCTGTCACTGTACCACTACCATTACCCGGTATAACTCAGTGTTTTTCAAACATGGCCATTTTAAGAGGTGTAGATTTCAACTCCCAGAATTCCCCAGCCCGCAAGCCTATGCCGGCTAGGGAATCATGAGTGCTGCAGTCCACATATCTTAAAAGCAACCCAATTTTGAAAAAAAAAACCCACATTGCTATAACTCTTGATTATTTTTGGTTTTGCACTCATGTCAGAGGCACTGAGGCGCTTCCAGTTGAAAGGATTAGCCACTGGTGACATCACTGTTACCCTGGGGACGCCCAGTTGGGGGCTCCTTTCATGTCCCCGGCAGGCGCTGGAGTAAAGAGTGAGATTTCAACACCACCCCATGGCAGTTCTCGGGTCTCAAAGACAGGCTTGCTAACCTCCTGCCCAGTGTTTCAACTGCTCAAGCCACTGTGCTCCTTACTCTTGAGGATTAAAAAAATATAATAAAATAGTTCACAAAGGAGCTTGCAAGTGTTATTTGCCAGAATCAATGCGCAACTAGGCCAGAGCCTGATGGGTAGGAAATCAAGAGTGAATGCCTTTCTGTAAAATAAACCAGCATACGGGCAGGGTTTTAATGCTGCTTTAGCCCAAAGGGCTCTGCACGCATCACAGGATGGGCCCCAGCACTTACCCGAGTTCCGTCATCCCATCCATGAATTCCATCCTTAAGAATTCGCACTGCGTTGCAGCTCTGAACTTCCAGGCAATTATCAAGACACTAATGCTGGCGGGGTCTAGTGCCAAGTCATCGCAAAACTGCTGTATGCCATCTATGCCGATTTTATTCTCATCTTGAGGATCTTAAAGGAGAAAAAATATATATATTTAAAAATTCCTAGAAATAACTACTCCATCAAGAATGGAACCAGTAGGTGTGATTTCAAGACAAATCATGTGAGTGAGAAACTAATTTCTGACTCAAGGGACATTAACTGCTGGCAGCTGCCATTTAACATCAATCTTTGCAATATAAAATGTGTAAGAAGTGTCTCACAGTCCTTCTCTTGCCTGGAATCACAAATGCTTTTGAAAATGGGTCAGTTTTCTCTTTCACAAGGGGGAGAGAGAATAAATCACAATTCACCTCTCATGGACTTTTTTTTATCCATTTCCCTGCAAGTCATGAGGACCCAGATTGTTGGGGGGCAGATATGCTGACTCTGTAAACCGCTTAGAGAGGGCTATAAAGCACTGTGAAACCATATATACATCTAAGTGCTAATGTTAAGTGCTAAGAGGCAGCTCTGAATAAGGAGGCTCTGGGTAGAAGAAAAAGCAATGGCTTGACAAATAATTATTAGGAAAGTCAGAGTAGAAATGTGGGCAAGAACAGGTAACTAGATCAAATACGAGAACAAACATGGCTTTTGATGTTAAAAGGTTCCTAATCTTTTGCTCTGAGTCAACTACAATATTTACACATTGAAGAAATCTCTTAAAACTGTGGTTATTGTATAAACCAAAAATGGTCAAAAATCAGACACAGCATGCTCTATTAATGCCCCCTCTTATCCCCCAATATTATGCTCTGGAAAGAAATGAGCAATATCCTCAGAGTCAGGAAATTTCAATCCAGTTTTCTAGCCAAGAGAAAGGTGGCCTTCCAGGGATATGAGTGGAAGCGGCAAGGATAGTTTGGGTCTAATCTTTCAAGAAATTTGGGATTGGGGGTGGGGTTTAAGAATGAAAATGAGAGCAGTTCACTTTCCAGAAGCCTTCCTCTCCCATTCCCATCCTTATTTTCCTAAAAGAAAACAAATGAAGGGGAGAATATGCTTCAGGGTTAGGGTTTGGGTTAGGGTTAGTTCATCATTTTGGTATTTCAGAGACATGATTTTTGTCTTATAGTATCTCATGAGATCCCTAATTTAGGGAGGTATTTGAACCTAGCTACTTAGGACCCTTTTTCAATCTACGTTCACCCTCAATCAAGAAGCTCATTGGGTGAAATTACCCACCAATTTTAGCCCATCCAGAGTCATGTATATGAGAAGGGCAGTTGTATAGAAAGAAAGAAAGAAAGAAAGAAAGAAAGAAAGAAAGAAAGAAAGAAAGAAAGAAAGAAAGAAAGAAAGAAAGAGAAAGAAAAAGAAAGAAAGAAAGAAAGAAAGAAAGAAAGAAAGAAAGAAAGAAAGAGTGAATGAATGATTCATTTTCCACATGTGTTGTAATACAGGTAGTCTATGACTTACAACCATTTGTTTAGTGACTATTCAAAGTTGCAACAACACTGAAAAAAGTGACTTACAACCGTTTATCACACTTACAACCATTGTAGCATCCCCATGGTTGTGAGATTTACATTAAAATACTTGACAACTGACTCACATTTACAATTACAGCATTTTGGGGTCAACTTTTGTGACTTTCTGTCAAGCAAAGTCAATGGGGAAGTCAGATTCACTTAACAACCATTCTACCAGCTTAACAACTGCACTGATTCACTTAACTGTGGCAAACAAAGTCATAAAATGGGGCACAACTTACTTAACAACTGTTTCACTTAGCAACAGAAAGTTTTGGTTCAGTTGCGAACATTAAGCCAAGGACTACCTGTAATATAACAGATGATAAATATGTTTGCTGCTCCCCTAAGCTCCTTAGGGGAAGAATGGGTCAAGGACTATTTTAAATAGGTAGTTAAATAAATAAGCCGTGTTGCAGTATCTAAGGGCTAAATCCCTATCCTTCTCGGTCATAGTTTTCCCCCATTGAAACCAACAATTACAGCTAAATTCAACCATTCAAAACGTGAACAAAAAACTTTTTACTCACCTTTGTATCTATTATATAGTTGCTCTAATTTCTTTCGATCCAGTGATCCCTTAATGTTTTCTCGTATATACAGTTCAGGATTTTGAAAAAAATTATCTGTTGCAACATCTAGCTTCCAGTCATTCTGAGACAGGCAATTCACGGCTGTTTTTTCACTGGATTGCGTGAAGATCATAAACTGCCGAACTTTATCTTTTTGCGATGACTTCAACTTGTTCTAAAAAAAAAGTTTGAAAAGAAGAGCAGTAAAACTTCACACCCGTTTTGCCTTGAGAAGGAAATACCTCAAAGGAAAATTCCATACATGATAAATATCAGTTGCGGAAGAAGTTAAGGCAGACATTCAGAAAGCCCAATTGGGATATTGATTTCTTAATTTTGCCCAGATGAGTTCAAAAGTTACTTGCAAGCCATGTTGTTCACTACTGCTCCAGGCACCTCACAAGTCAAATAAGCTTACTACATGGTGGAATTAACAGTGAAATACTCATCTCTGTATTAGCAACAGTGTGGTTTATGGGCTCATCCAGACTATTCAAGATAGAAGCAACTTCCATCATAATATCTGCCAAAGGCTCCATAAAACGGAGGGCTTTAAAAAGATGATAACAAACTAAGGTTATTTACCAGAAATGTCTACAAAGTATGGTCAAGATGGCAGCCGCAATGGTGTGATTGAAGCATCACCTGTTTGCCTTTTAAAAAACAACATATCTATGGATGCTCCCAACACTCACTTATCCAAAGTGATTGATTAGCTTTCAGAGGCTAATTGACTTGGGAATACCACAGAACAGCTTAATGAGAAGGCTATTATACCACTCCTAATTTCCCACTAAATTATTCTCATATGAAATTTAATAGGACATCAACTCAGAGGTGACAAGAAAAAAAAGTTTTGACTGAGGGTTAAATGTGAAAAAAGTAGCAGTATCAAAATTCAACATCATGCATAGTGATACATGCCTAGGTAGTCCTGGACTTATGATCATAATCGAGTCTGCAACTTTGGTCACAAGTTGCAGTAGTCGTTAAGCGAACACAGCATTGTAAAGTGAATACCGGGGTTGTTAGGTGAACCCACTATTCATTAATGGATTATTTTTTTTGCCAGTTTCTGGCAAAAAAACCCATAAATTGTGGTCAAAGTAAATGCCAGTTTCTGACATGGTCAAACAGCCTAATATGGTTACATGATTGGGCGGGGGGGGAGGAATGTTTGAACATCAAATTCAAATTTGGGTTGCAAGTCTCTTTGTTGGGATCTGTCATAACTTCAAGTGGTCACTGAGCAACCAATTATAAGTCTAGGACTACCTGTATGACTTTTAAGATTACACTTTCACTGAAGCTGTCTTCTTCCAATGAAGCTATAAACACAATTCTTTGGACAATGTGACTGCGGAAAGACATCATACAAACAACTGTTAATTCTATACCCTGACTGGAAATACCATCAACTAAGTCATTCAGTATGATCATCTGGTGGGGAAACTTTCCTATAAAATTCCTACATATGACAAAACAAGCATTTACTATATTCATCAAAAGTAACCCTTTCCCCCCTTGGTTTATCCCTCTTAAAAATATTCCTCACAATTCTTAATTAGGGATTAACTAGGGATAGGATAGAGGTTAAGGTGTCACATTTACTGAAGTTTCTTCTTTTCATTTTTCCTGTTTATAAATAATGATCCGAGGTTTACATTTTATTCTTTGTTTATCTCTTACCAAGTTATTTAGATCTTCAAGTCAACTAACATAACACAACTGTTATGGCCATATAATATGCTATTTCAAACAAATACACATGAACCATTTTATGGCACCCATACTTGAGGTTCAGGGGTAAAAATCTGTATACTCTTAATTTCTTTACACTGCATTGTCAGTTTAATGTAATTTTTCTCTTTTTCTTGAATCATTCTGCTATCTTAGTTTTGTTTTAGCTATTCACTTTTTTATATTGTTTCTGTTGAATTTGTGTATGTTACACCTGACTCTTCAATGACTGCAAATAAAAATATGAGTGCTACATATTATGGCATAGCATGATAGCCTGGTACACACATCCCACCAAGACACAAAGTACCCCTTCCCATTTTAGCTCCACGTCTTGTACAAAACCAGTTATTGTCTATCAATGAACCACAAAGAATATTAGCAAGCAATAGATGTAAACTTTTTAGTTTCCCAGAACAGTACTTCAAACAGCACCTATATCTACATATATCTGCCTCTATCTCTTAGCTAACTCCATCTTTGGCAATCTAGCATGAGTTGATAGCAATAGCAATAGCACTTGGACTTATATAGCGCTCCACAGTGCTTTACAGCCCTCTCTAAGCTTTACAGTGTCAGCCGATTGCCCCCAACAATCTGGGTCCTCATTTTACCAACCTCGGAAGGATGGAAGGCTCACTCAACCTTGAGCTGTGTATAAAATGGCAACAGGGAACAGGACCACAGAAAAATGTGCCTGAGAAAGTAGAGCTGCTTCTTTTACCCCTGCTCTGGGAATATAAAGCAAGAGACTTGTGCTGGAAATTATAATGTGGAAGTACTACACAGTTATTGTAGAATGTCATTTTACATTATTTTGGATAATAATGTGCCCAGTTTTCAATCAACATTTAACTCTTCATAAAGGAATCCTTAATTTAGCCTATTTTTAATAAGATATTCCTTCTATATAAATTCACATTTTTAAAATAAATAAGATATCTGCTCACATTTGCATGCTTTCAAACTGCTAGGTGGGCAGGAGCTGGGGCGAGTAACAGGAGTTCATCCCGTTGAGTGGTGGTCAGGTCTTGAACCTTGTCGAACTTTCCAGCCAACAAACCCAGCGTCTTAACCACTGAGCCATCGCTCCCTTATTTAAATAGATTTGTTTAAATGATTTACATAACCATCCACCACCACCACCAATGACTATGGGAGAAGGGTACAAGGATTAAAAACCAAAACAAAAAGATACAAACAATGAAACCTAAGGTTAAATCAGCAGGAACCAAATACATCACCAGTAGAGTTTGCCTGGCTCCTGGCCCAAATGCCAGAGGTAACAGCCAGGTCTTCAGAGTTATACAAAAGACTAACATGGTTGGGGCCATCAGGATGCCATTGTTTGAAGGAAGGGAGCCAGAGCATGGCCTTCCCTACTAGACCTGGTGAGATGGGCAGAAATAATGGGGGACAGGAGGCAAAAATGCGAACCATAAATTTTATCCAGATGACACATCAGTAGTTTTCTTGGTAGCATTAAAGAAATTATTTGTCATTGTCCTCCAGGCAATGACAATGTAATTGGGATTTTAAATTGTACCCCCTCTTCAAGTACTAACTCTGCTTAATTTCTGAGTTCAACCAAGGTTAACTAAGATGCTGGCTACAGTTCAAATACACTTTGCCAGAGATGGAGAAATGGTCTATCACATCTCTTCCTAGGAAGCTAAATGCAGATGCAATAAATTAGTCTAAGGAGAAACATCCTGGGTATATACACAGAAGATAAAATTAACTGCACCTAAACACAACTGTAAGTACCAAAAGAGTCCTGGTACAACTGGCTATATTTCCTGAAGAATTTTACATGCTGTTTTGGGCAGCACATCACTGAGGTAACAAGTATCTAGAAAGTGTTCACACACACATATATGTACACATACACACCCACACACAGAGAGAAGAAAAGGTTTTCAAATACTATAAACGTGTTTACAATACTAATCTGCTCTAATTTACAAAGCAATTTTCATGCTGAAAGTTAACATTTGAATAAGGCCCATGTTCTCATCCCTGCCTCAAATACCTGCCTGAGTCTCTGGAGAAGGGTGGCATATAAATCAAAATTTAAAAAAAAAAATACTGACCAACCAAATATAGCATTAATGTTTTGTGGAACATAGCCATTGCCATCAAATTAATTAAAAATATTCCTCAATTTCCCAGGATAATTCCATGTGTGTGTGTGTGTGTGTGTGTGTGTGTGAGAGAGAGAGAGAGAGAGAGATACATGCAGAAGGTCATGACATCAACATCAGCAGGTCAACACACTATTCAAGTAAACAAGACCTAAATAGCATAATGCATTCCAACAGTAATTAATGATGTCACTGACTTTTAAAGATGTGTAATGCTAGTTTACACCAAGAGTGGAAAACAAATGAATAGTCTGAATTAAATTCGGACTGAACTGAACTGAATGTGCCATTAAATTCTAGTTCTGCCATTTCAAACCAGATTCTCATAAATTTCTGCAAGAGAACAGGGGCATGTGAGATGAAATAAAGTGACGAGATGATTCAAATACTGCCTCATCATCTTCTAAAAGTTGGTGTCAGATTTTGGTCTAGTTTCTTCTTTCTTGAAGATAGCTGTTCCTTTTATAAGAAATAAACAAATAAACCAACCCTGGGATTGTTGTTATTATCATTAGTCAGCCAAATGTTCAGACTGGGTTTGGCATTTTTATATTATTATTATTGTTGTTGTTGTTGTATTCAATTGATATCCTTATTATTAAATTATTAGATCTACAAGTACATTCTTGACAAGATTTTGGGACAAAACTCTGCAGTTGCTGCTGTACCTTTATTTTTATGTGACCTAAGTCATGGTTTTATGTGACCTAAGTCATGGTTTCATTCATACTCTACAATTGCTTGGATTCATACACCTAATGTTTACAAAGCATAATTCCTGGCTTCCCAGACCACTCTCATCCCCAAACCCACCCAACACTATTGTTTCACCTTTTGATGAAACCTGCTGTCAAGAATCTGTTATTAGGGAGGGACTCCATGGATGAAGAAATTAATGCATATATTTAAATTTATCACCCAACAACAAACTTGCAAGATAAGTTGGGCTGAGAGAAAGGATGACCAGACTCAGAGATCCCAGATCTTTAAGCTGGGCTTGAATCTACACCTTTTCAACTCCTCATCCAACACCATGAGACCTCTCTCTCCATCTGGCTAGCAGGAATCCCTTGTCCTTTCTGAAGATCAAGCCATCCCAAAGCACCTTTTCCCACCTGTACATTTCTCACACACACACACACACACACACACACAAAAACCGTGACTATGGAAATTTTGCGCACTTTTGTTAAGTGCACAACATTTCCAATTTTCCTAAGAATTCTAATAATAATAATAATTGGAATAATAATTGGAATTTATTTACACAAAAACCCAGCCTGGGATGTTGGGCACAAGATCCTGGACTTTCCAAAGGGAAAGTGAGAATCTTCTTTTTTTGTGTGTGAAATTGAGGGGGGGGAGGGTGAGAGATGTCTGATGTTCGGTCACCACATTGACCCCTTCTCTCCTCCTCCTCCTTGCAATGAAGAGCAAACAATTGCTGGACTTTTTCCTCCTCCTCCAATTCCATCTCTTTCCCCATCCATCCATCCATCCGCCCGCCCGCCTCCATCCCTTTGAGGGAGGGAGAGGGGGGAAAGACCCCTCAATTCATGGGCGCCCATTTACCCCAAACCCCGAAAGACGTGGGATGGGGGGGCTACACCCAAGAGTACCCCAACTCCTTGTTGAATGAAGTGCAAAAGGACCCCCCCCTTCCCCCCCTTCATACACCTCATACACAACCCACAAAGGCTTCCCGCCTCACAGGGAAGATACTTCAGGGCTCCGGAATTCACCGCCCGGCTTGGCTCGGGGAGGGCGAGAGAGAGAGACCCCACCACAACCACCACCAACACCATCATCCCCGACCCCAAACGTTTTCCCCACACGCCCTCCCGGCAAGGGCACAAATCGGGATCCCGGCGGGCCGAATCCGGGCGTTTGAATTGAGAGGCGGCCCTTTCACCCTCAGGCGAGGCGAGAGCCCGCATTCCCCACCGCCCCCGTTTTTCCCAGCGGGCCTGCCCTCCTTGCCCCCGCGGGTTTGGGGCGGCCTTGTGGGGTCGTGCCCTCCCGCCGCCGGCTAGGCCGCGCGTTGCCAGGCGATGGCGGCGGCGGTTTTTTTTTTTTTTCCCCTCAGCGGGCGGGCTCTCTCACCATGGTGGGGCTGCGCGCGGGCCTCGCTCCCCGCCGGGCCGGCTCAGGCGGACTCTGAGGAGGAGCAGGAGGAGGCGGACCGAGGTTGGCGGCAGCGGCGGCGGCGGCAGCAGCGGCTCCCGGGGCTCCTCCTCGCGGGCCCTGCCTTCCGCCGCTCATGCGCACTGCGCCCAGGCCGCGCTCGCCGGGCCGGCCCTGCCGGCGGACCTCGAGCGGCCCCGGCTGCCGGGCTAGGCCCTCCTTTTTCGTGAGGGCTTGGTCCGCCTCAGGCCCTCAGCCCGGCGCCGCGCGGGGGGTCGCGTTGAGCCTCTCGGCGGGGAGGGAAGGAAGGACGGCGGGGCTGGGTCGCCCATTCCCGCCGCCTGCGGCCACCCGACTCTTAAGTGGGCCCCCCGCCTCAGAAACGCTTCCCCCGGGCTGTTCGAACGGAAGATCCCCCGCCCCCGGCGGCGCTGGACTGCAGGCCCGGGGAGCGTTGCTTGCATCGGGGCTTTTATTCAGATGGAGAGGCCGCCCAGGTGGCCCAAGACTTGAGGGAGGTTGGCGTACTTCAATAGGAAAAGTGGGGGGTAGGGGGGGAGAGAGAGAAGAATACAGGTAGTCCTCGGATCACAACTACAATTGAGCCCCAAAATTTTATGTTGCAGAACGAGTTTTGCCCCCATTTTACGACCTTGCTTGCCGCAGTTGTTAAGTGAATCACTGCAGTTGTTAAATTAGTACAGGGGTCTGCAACCTTAAACACTCAAAGAGCCATTTGGACCAGGGGTGGGTTCTAACCGGCTTTACTACCGGTTCTCTTCGTGTGCGCGCTTTGCGCGCAATCGCCTTTTCAGACGTGTGCTTTGCGTGCTATCGCCGCATGCATGCTTGGTTTGCTTGCAGGACACCAAACTTGTTCTTCGCGCAAGCGCATTGCGAATCTGCCCAGCTGAAGTGCGGCAATCCACTCTGCCGCACCTCTCAGCTGGGCGAAAAAAGCAGACATATAAGGTCTGCATAACGCCGGGGCGGGCGGGAGGGCCCAGCTCCCAAAGACAGAGAACCGGTTCAGTGACATCATATCGTCACCGCTACCGGTTTTCGCGAACCGGGAGGAACCCACCACTGATTTGGACCCGTTTCACCACAGAAAAGAAAACACGGGAGCCACAAAACCCTTCCAGTGCCTGACTGTTTCTTGAGCGGCCACAAAACTAGCATATGTAGTTGAATTAAATGTTCTGTTTTCTTCTGAAACTTTTTTCTTCTCTTGGATTTATCCATGGTTGGCCTACCGCTGGCGGGTGTCGCACATTGGCGGTTGTGATGCATATTTCAAGTGACAGGGAGCCACAGCAGAGGGATGAAAGAGCCACATGCGGCTCCAGAGCCGCAGGTTGCTGACCCCCTGAGTTAGTACAACACGGTTTTTTGGAAATGATGCACCAAGATGTGGAGAAACTTTAATTTTTGCTGTTTAATGTATTTATTTATAATTCATATTTCTAAACCTCGCATCTTTTTCAAACAGGGTGGTGTACAGTATAATACGGAGAGTCTTTGATTTATGACAACTGAGCACAACATTTCTGTTGCTAAGTGAATTTTAAGTGAATTTTGCCCCGTCTTTCTTGCCACAGTTGCTAAGTGAATCACTGCTGTTAGGAAGTTAGTGACACGGTTGCTAAGTGAACCTGGTTTATCCATTGAATTTGCTTGTCAGAAGGTCGCAAGAGGTGATCGCATGGATCCCGGGACATTGCAACCATCATAAATGTGAGATACTTGCAGACAATCTGAATTTTGATCATGTGGCCATGGGGATGCTGCAACAGCTGTGAGTCACTTTTTGCAGTGATGTAACTTTGAACAGTCACTAAATGAACTGTTGTAAATTGAGGATTACCTGTAGTTGCAGAGAACAGCTGCAGGGTTAAAAAAAATCCCCCATCAGTTGCAAGATAAATAAAATAAAATCCAAACATACCAGAAACAATCTGACTAACCTCAAGGCCAGGATGTGCAAAACCCTTGAAGGATGGGAATTGCACGGAGCTCTGGGGTGATGTGGGGCAGTGGGCAGGTGCCCCAAATGGAAAGGTGGAAGGGTACAATGCAGCCCTCTTCTCTTGTTGCTCTGGCCACAGAGGTGGCCTTCAGTTTAAGGGAGTTTTTGTCTTTATTTAAAGTTCTGGCTCTGATGTCCTATGTACAGGGAAGACTTCTGAGGAGGGTCCTTTTCTCTAATCCCACCGGTTTCCTTGAAACAAGTAGGATGGATTTTGTTTTGTTCTTGACCTTCCATCATAGGCCTCTGCCAGAGAAGAACCAACCATCCTATATCATGAAAAAGGATTGGCAAATCAGAAAAAATGAGTTATCTAGGACAGTTTCCCACAGAAAAGAAAACACCAGGAGCCACAAAACCTGAGTGGGCATGGCCAACTCAGTGTCACTCCCACCCAGTCAAATGACACACACACCTAGCCACACCTACCCAGGTTTTGTGGCTTCTGGTGTTTTCTGTGGGAAATGGGTCTGTCTCTTTCTCTCCCCACCCCCATTTCTGTTTTTCTCTCGTTTTCCTCTCCCCCTCTCCTTCCTTTCTTTTCTTTCTCTTTCTTCCTTTCTCTCCCCCTTCTCTCTCTCATTTGTTTCCCTCTCTTCCCTCTCTCTCATTTCTTTCTCCTCTCCCTCTCCTCCTTCTCTTGCTCAATTGTGAGACCAGGTTGGCAGGGAGCCACAGGAGACGGGTCAAAGGGCCACATGCGGCTCTGGAGCAGCGGGTTGCCGACACCTGCCCGAAGAGGTCCACATAATCAAAATTATTTGTCAGCCTATGTTGAAAAACAATGAAATATTAAAATCCCATCCAACAATTGTGAGGTGGTCATGGCAGCGAACGCATCCGTTTTAATTTTTAAATACAGTAATTATCAATAAATACAACCCATGCAAAGAATAACTTTTGGGGTCCTCCATAACTTTTAAAAGTGGGAAGGGATCCTTAGAGGGAAAAAAAAATAAAGACTAATCTGGGGA